CTACTGACGAAAGCAACCCACCCCAACACACTCCAGCACCCCAGATTCTCTGTCCAAAATCTCTTTTCCTTATCACCATTTTAATACTTGTGTGTGACTAGTTGCTCATCACGTCCAACTCTTTGCCACCCTTTGGACAGCAGGCTTCCAGGCTCCTCAGTCCATGGGATTCTCCAGGCAAGAATACTGGAGTGGGTTGCCATTTCCATCTCCAGGGAATCTTCCTGACCCAGGAATCAAATCCTTATCTCCTGTGTATCCTGCATTGCAGGCAGATTCTTTATTCACTGAGTCTTTGGGGAAGCCCCTGTAAATACTTAAACACATAATTTATTTACTGTTGTTATGGGTTTTGACCTGTCTCCCTTGCTGGAATGTCGACTCAGCAGGGATCTTTGTGTTGCTCACAGCTGTATCCCCATGGCCAGAACAGTGCCTGGCACACAGTAGGTGCTCAATAAACTGTCATTGAATAAATGAATGAATGAATCACTGTGTAATAGTGTTGAGTAAAGAGGTGAGGACCTCCCCAATAGAGTGAAGACACACAGGGACACTTAATGTGAGGGAAAGGGGGACCCCTCAGACTGAGGAGGATGAAGGCCCTTTTCATTCATTCATTCATCCTCTCCTCTCGTGGGGAGAGTGAGGACACCCCTAGAAACCAGACATGAAAGAAAAGGGTGAAAACTCCATCCAGGTGGGCTGGTGGGATGTAAAGTTGTTGTTTAGTCACTAAGTTGTGTCCCATGGACTGTAGCCCACCAGGCTCCTCTGTCTATGGGATTTCTAAAGCAAACTGGAGTGGGTTGCCATGCCCTCCTCCAGGGGACCTTCCTGGAATCCAGACTCTTGCATCTTCCTATACTTAGAAAGGCACTAAATTCCTTAACTTGGGCTATCTGGTTTTCCTTCTGTATTTCTATCTTTTTTTTGTGGCTGTCCCTTGCAACATGTGGGATCCTACTTCCCTGACCAGGGACGGAACCCATACCCACTACACTGGGAGTGTGGGGTCTCAACCCCCGGACCACCAGAGACACTGGTTTTCTTTAATTAACAATCATCTTTTGATGTTCAGACTACCTGCTCTTTGTTGCAAAACATTTATATAACCTGGCTCCTCCCCTCGCTTCTCAGGGTTACTTGAGATACTGCCTCCTGGGCTTGAAGTCCTAAAAGTTTCCACCAAATAAAACATAATTCTCAACTTTTAAATCTGAGTATTTTTTACATTGACAGAGGGGTGGTGAAGGGCAGTTGCTGTTTACCCTATGGGATGGGGGTACCCAAGGGCCAGGAAACAGCCAGGAGAGGAGAAACACTCCTCAACCCTCAGTCTTTTCCAGGCAGAGGGTGAAGTACAGGGCTTAGGAATCATCCAGAAATGAGGGTTCGGATCCCTTCCCTCACTTGTTAAAAAATTTTTTTAACCTGATGCAAAGAGCCAACACATTGGAAAGACCCTGATGCTGGAAAATATTGAGGGCAATAGGAGAAGGGAGTGACAGGGAACAGATGGTTAGATAGCATCGTCGACTCAGTGGACATGGAATTGAGCAAACTCTGGAAGACTGTGAAGAACAGGGAAGCCTGGTGTGCTGCAGTCCATGGGGTCACAAAGAGTTGGTCATGACTTAGTGCCTGAACAACAACAAAATAGTTGTTTTACCATGCCATGCTAGTTACCACTCTATAGCAAAATGAATCAGTTGTACATATACATATGTGTGCGTGCACGCTAAGTCATTTCAGTTGTGTCTGACTCTTTGCAACCCCATGGACTGTAGCCTGCCAGGCTTCTCTGTCCAGGGGATTCTCCAGGCAGGAATACTGGAGTGGGTTGCCATTCCCTTCTCCAGGGGATCTTCTGTGATCCAGGGATCAAACCCAGGTCTCCTGGGTTTCCTGCATTGGGCAGGCAGGTTCTTTACCACCAGCACCACCTGGGAAGCCCATACATATACATATATCCCCTCTTTTTTGGATTTCCTTCCCATTTAGGTTGCCACAGAGCACCGAGTGCTTGCTGTGTGACTTTAAACAAAGGGCTCAATCTCTCTGAGCCTGTTTTCTCTTCCGTAAAATGGGAGGCAATGTGCCCCTACTCTCACCCATGCAAGCTCAATCCAGAGAACACAGGTGAAAGCCCTGGCACACAGTAGGTCCACAATAGAAAATGACGATTACTGTGGGCCTCTGGGATCTTGTCAGGTTTCAGCCACAAGGTCAAGGAGGGGAAAAGTACAGGATGCAGATGTAGAAGAAGATTCACCGGATGGGGTCTAGGGTGGAGGGAGGGGTGAGAGGGGAATGAATCTCCACCAGCTCTGGAATTTTTAAAATTACCCTTTAGGGAGATAGAAACTCAGAGAGGTTAGGCATCAGGCCCAAGGACACACAGCCTGTCAGTGCTGGATTTACATTTCATTTCATCTCTGCCCAGGAATCGAGGGAGTCTTTTCCAGAATTAAAGTGAAGAGTCCTGAAAGGTGTCTGAACTGTGGAATTGATGGGTAACTGGGGAGGGATGTCAACCCTTAGTCCAGGCAACCAGCCCTCCTTGGGGTGGGAGCAAGAGCCCGCTGCATTCACACGGCCCTCAGCATCTGACTCTGAGGGAGCCTCGGGGTCAAAAACAGTTAAACAGCTTCTGTTTGTGGTGACGTGCTTTGGGGACAGCTCAAGGGGACACACCCCATCAGAGGTGGTGGAATTGTCCGGTTACAAACCCGCCCACTATTCAGGCCATTGTGTGGGTGCCTTTCAATGGCGTCCAACCGCAAAGCTTTTCCGGGGCCCAGAGCTGCCCTGGGTGACTCAGGGCTGGGGGCTGGGGCGCCCTCTCCACCTGGTCCAGAAGCTGCAGAGAGTGAGGCTTGAGTCGGGGAGGGACTAGGAGGTGGCCCACCCACCCTGGGTGGCTTCCAGGCTGCCACTGTCTGGGGACTGAGCCCCTGAGAATGGGGGAAAAAGGATGCCCCCACCCTCACTCCCCTTCAGGCTCTAGAAGCTTCTGTTTTGCAGCCAAGCATTAAGGACAGTCCTTTCTCCTGGGAGGAGTAAATTAACAGATACTAAGCACCTGGCACAGTGCAGGAGATGTGGGTTCGATTTCTGGGTTGGGAAGAGCCCCTGAAGAAGGAAGTGGCAAACCACTCCGGTATTCTTGCCCGGTAAATCCCATGGACAGTGGGGCCTGGTGGGTTACAGGTCATGGGGGTCACAAAAGAAGCAGACACGACTTAGTGATTAACAAACAACAACAGTGTAGATGGCCGTTTTCAGGTTATTTTGCACACCAGAGGGCCTCCCTGGCGGCTCAGACAATAAAGAATCTGCCTACAATGCAGGAGACCTGGGTTCAAGGCCTGGGTTGGGAAGATCCCCTGGAGAAGGGAATGGCTACCCACTCCAGTATCCTTGCCTGGAGAATTTGGACACCAGAGTGGTTTGGCTGGAGAGCTCTAATTTCCTGCTCAAAGGGTAGAACAGTGTAGGGGTGTAGAAGCCCTGGAGCCATACATGGAGAGTCTTGGACCTTATTTTAGTCGAGAAGAGAACCTGGTTCCTCCCTCCTCAACACCAAGCTGGAGTCCCACCTCTTCCTGAGGCCGGTGGGCTTTCTTTGGTTAGCCAGGCCCAAGCTGACCCCCAAATGACTAACAGGCCTGTGAGGTCCCCCTTGGGGTCCAAGAACACACCTTCCTTAACCCTCACAAGCTGCCTTTCTGCTTCCACCCGTCCCCTTAGCATCCCCTGATTGTGCAGCCCAAATTCACTCACATCACATCAAAGGACGCAAATACACCTTGCAGCTTCCTGTCTCCTGGCCTTTGCCCCCTTGGTTCTCCCTGCCAGGAGTATCCTTTTCTTTCTTCCACTGATCTCGTCTTTAGAAATTCCAGCCAACCCAACACTGCCCTGAAGTTTTGGGGAAACTTCCCCCTATCTGCACCCCTAAGGTGGCAAAGCTCTTGCTCAACTTTGTACCAAGAGAGACTGGGCATCCCTCTGTCTTGCCCACCAGCCTGGAGTTCCTGCAAACCTGGGGCTGTGACTTGCTCATTTCCTATCTGAGAGCTGAGCACAGGTGCTGAAATCAGAGGTGTCAATAAAACAACAACAAAAAACCCCCCCCAAAATTGGAACTTCCCTGGCTGCCCAGTGCTTAAGACTCCAGGTTCCCAATGCAGGGGGCACGGGTTCGATCCCTGATCGGGGAACTAAGATCCCTGAACACTACGTGGCTCTGTCAGAAAATATAAAATAAAATAAAACTCATCATAAAAAAAGAAACAAAAACCCAGCTGGATAACCAATAAGGACCTACTGTATAGCACACGGAACTCTACTCTATATTCTGTGATAACCTGTATGAGAAAATCTAAAAAAAGAAGGAATATATGTACATATATTACTGAATCAGTTTGCTTACATCTGACACTAACACAACATTGCAAATCAACTATCTGCTTAGCTGTTCAGTAGTGTCTGACTTCTTGGGACCCCGTGAACTGCAGCCAACCAGGCTCCTCTGTCCATGGGGATTCTCCAGGCAACAATACTAGGGTGGGTTGCCATGCCTTCCTCCAGGGGATCTTCCCAACCCAGGGACTGAACCCAGGCCTCCCGCATTGCAGGCAGATTTTTCACCCTCTGAGCCACCAGGGAAGCCTGTAAATCAACTACACTCCAATTAAAAAAAAAAAATGCCCTAGGAAGTGAACGTGTCAGTGAGCCAGTGAAAGGAGGAATACCTGGCCATCTCTGACCCTGCAATGTTTAATTCCCGCTGTAGCCTTTCTGTGACGTCTCCTCCAGTCAGCGTGGAAAACCAGCCCCACCTGGCTGACTGTGATGGAGGCCTTTGCCAAAAAAGCAGAAGCCCTCTGCGGACTGCCCCCAAGGGGGCTCGGGAAGGCACCTGTCACATCTGTCCCTCTCTCCTCCAGGTATGTATCTGCCTCCTCCGCTGACCCCAACCCAGCCCGGCTTACCTGGCCAGCAGGTGAGGAAGAGGCTCACGGTCAGAGCCACCAGGTGCCCTCGCGGATGGCGCCCCAGGCGCGCAGGGTCTTCCCTGCCCATGCTCCTGTCCACCCTCCTGCCCACCCGCCTGGGCAGTGCTCCTCACACCCCGAACGAGCCCCAGGGACTGAACCCAGCCCAGCCCGGCAGGGCTCCTGGGAGGATGGTGAGGACACGCCTTGCTGAACTTCCCAAGAGGGGCAGGGCTTGCCCTAGGGGGAAGCAGTGGTTCTGTGGTTGGCAAAGGTCAGCTGGCTTTATTCAGCGCCCTCGTGATGACTAACGCCTGCAGACTGATATTGATATTGTGCAAGGCCCTGTGGGGCTCCTGGGCACAAGCTTGTTCTGTGTCCCACACCTCTATTTCTTTAATTATAGGAAACAAACCTTCATTCAGCCTCTAAGACCTTCCCTGAGTTCCAAGGGGGCAGATTCAAGCAGTTGTTAATTAGGGAAGGGATGGGGTGTAAGACCAGAGAGAAACTAATAGTCAAGAGCAGCCTTGGGGCAAGGTCCTGATTCCCCATCAATGGATACACACAATATCTTTGAGCTCTTTTGCAGAAACTGAAAGCCCCTTCAGGTGGGAGAAGCTAAAGATTAATAATGGTATGCTGCCCACAAGCATGTAGACCCCAGACCTGTTGAACCTGAACGTTGATGATGCTGACTCCTACTTACCTCACCACAGACCCCTCAGAAGAATATCCACAAGCTGATCATGCCCCCTTTGAACAATTACTATAAAACCTCTCCCTCCTGGTGGCTCAGCGATAAAGAATCCACCAGCTAATGCTGGAGATGCGGGCTCCATCTCTGGGTCATGAAGATTCCCTTGAGAAGGGCATGGCAACCCACTCCAGTATTCTTGCCTGGAGAATTCCATGGACAGAGGAGCCTGGTCGGCTACAGTCCATAGGGTTGCAAAACGTCGGATACAACTGACTAACACACAGCACAATCTTCCCCAAGAGAGAACACGTGGTTTTTGAGAGCGTGCGCCCGCTGTGTCCCCCTTTGCTTGGCAAAGCAATAAAAATCTCCTTTTCTACTTCACCCGGAACTCATCTCTGATATTTGATTCGACACTGGTGTACAGAGAAGCTGAGGTTTTGGCATCAGTACCCTCTGTGAAGAGGGGCACATGGGCCCTCCACACACCAGACGAAGCCTGGCTCCTGAAAAGCCTGCTGCCAAACGAAGAGATGCCCTGAAGTGGCCATCTGGCGGGGCTTAAAGGCAAACAGAGGTCTGGGCATAGGTCTGTCCTAATCTTTCAAGCCCCCTGGGTTTTACCTGGCTGACAACTTCCTGCTCAGGAGCTGGCACTACCAGACTGAGCCGGGTGGACCTTCCCCGGGGGAGGCACGGCTGGCTCAAACGGTTTTGGAATGTGTGGGAGTGGACGGGAGATTGCATTCCCATGTGAGAACACTCTGGCTGCTGGGGGAGTGGAGGGCTGGACTTGGTGTACCCTTGGGGAGCCCTGCAGAGCCGCCCTGTGCCACTCCTGGACCCCTCTAGGACCCACATGGCCAGCAAGGAGGCTGTAGCTAAGCCATTCAGCAGTCCCCAGGGGCAGAGAAGACAGGAGGGGCTGGCCTGGGATTATTCTGCCCTTTCCTTGAAAACCATGCGGGCTTGAAGTTTACTTATCACCGCAAGCCTGGACTGTTACAACAGCTGCCCCTAAAAACGGCCTCTCCCCCACTGTCCGCCAAACACAGACTGTGCCAGGGGCATCCTCCTTAGGTATGTGATCCTCCGTGGCCCCGATGCTCCTACCTCATCCAGGGGCTAAAGGCCATCCCCATCCTCCCTCCTGGCCCACCCCTCAAGCCTCTCACAGACCAGACAAGTGGGTTTATCTCCTCATCCAGGGAAGGCACCTAGTGTGAAGGTGACAGGTAGGGGCTACCCCACAAAACCTCACATCTCTCCTGCATCTGGTTGTTGTTGTTGTTTAGATGCCCTGGTACCCAGAGCCAAACTCCATGGATCTGTAGCCAAGGCGAGCTTATCAGAACACTCCCACACTCAGGTCCTTCATGCTCAATGCAACTTCCTGCTAACCTATTCTCCTCCCTTTTTGCCCTGATGATCTCAGTCCACTCGTTCTCAGACACACTCTGAGCCCTGAATACCCTTCAGGCATGCAGCCTGGCCAAGATGCACAAGTGATCAAGATGGGCTGACAGAAGCACTGTAGTGGCCCAGTGGTTAAGATTCTGAGCTCCCAATGCAGGGGGCCCAAGTTAGAGATCCCCGGTCAGGGAACTAGATCCCACATGCCGCAACGAAGACCTGACACAGTCAAATAAATAAAAAAATAAGAAGCCCATTGGAGATATCAGTCCCAGACTGGGAAAGGGCAGGGGAATCAAGGAAGGCTTCCTGGAGGAGATGCCACATACACCAAGTCCTGAAGCTGGAGCCAGCTGGGCCAGGGGAGTTGGGGAATGAAGAAAGGAGTGTTCCAGGGAGAAGACACAGTGATAGCAAAGACTGGAGGCAGCAGGAAGCAGGAAGTGGAGCCTGGCTTTTGTCCAAATCCTCTCCCTTGGTTGTCTGTCTGGGCACCCCCTCCCTTCCTTAAGAAAACAATCATGGAGAAGCAGAGGCCAAGCCAGAGGGTCCAGTGGGAGATTACAGGGTTCGGCTCCCCCTACCTCGCAGAGGGGAAAATTGGGTACTGGAAAAGCACCAGGACCAACAAGATCTATGACAGAGGGGCACCAGACCCCAGACCCCTAGATTCTTCAAACTCTTCCTGATTAAGCAATTTATTTATTTATTTATGGCTGTGCTGGGTCTTCATTGCTTTGTGCCAGCTTTCTCTAGTTGCGGCAAGTGGGGCCTACTCTTCGTTGCCGTGTGCGAGCTTCTCATTGCTGTGGATTTTCTTGTTGCGGAGCACTGGCTCTAGAAACTTGGGTTTCAGTATTTGGGGCGCATGGGCTTCGTTGTTCTGAGGCATATGGAATCTTCCTGGACCAGGGATCAAACACATGTCCCGTGCACTAGCCGGTGGATTCTTACCCACTGCACCAGCAGGGAAGTCCTGCTTAAACGATTTAAATCCTCTGTCTCTCCAGGACACGACAACAAGCACTCCCGAGCACCATCTGGGAGGCCTCAGGGTCCAGGAACTGCCCTGTTCTTCAAGGGGTGCACAGATGTTTTTGGGTTTAGGTTCATGATGGTAACCACAACTTTACTGTTTATTGAACACCTACTACATGCTGGCCATGGCTTCCAGTCGTCACCAAGACCCTGAAGCTAGGTGTCACTCCCACAGCAGTTCCCTAAGGTGTTTGCTACTCATTGGCCCCATTGCAGAGATGAGAATGCTGAGGCTTAGGGATTTGCCCCAAATCTTGCATCTAGCACATAACAAAGCTAGGGCTTGAACTCTATTTTGATGAAGAACAGCGCTCCTTACCTAGGGGCTATTCCCCTCCCTCCACTCCCCACTCCCTCCACCCCCTACCCCCCCACCAAAGACATTTGGCAATGCCTAGAGTCATCTTGTGGGACTTTCATGATAGCTCAGTGGTAAAGAAACTGCCTGCCAATGCAGGAGACGCGGATTCGAACCTTGGGTCAGGAAGCTCCCCTGGAGAAGAAAATGACAACCCACTCCAGTATTCTTGCTTGGGAAATGCTATGAACAGAGGAGCCTGTGGGGCTACAGTCAAAGGGGTCGCAAAGAGACCGACACGACTGAGTGAATGGACAACATCAAATGGTCATCTTTGGTTGTCATGAGGCAAAGAGGAGCCACTCCTGGTGTCTAGTGGATGGAAGACACAAATGTTGGTGACTATCCTACAGTGCCCTGGGCAATAAAGTACCCAACCCCAGATGTCAATAGTGACACTGATTAAAAAACAACAAACCAAAAACAAAAAGCAAAGAAGCCTGATCTAAAGTGACACTGTTGTCTGGTGGAACTTTCTGGATAATGTTCATTTTCTATTTGCTGGACAACAGGGTCATTCACCACGAGCTACATGTGGCCACTGAGCACTTGAAATGTGACTAATAGGACTGAGGAACCGAATTTTTAATTTTGTTCAATCTGAATTAAAAACAATAATCCTCAGTTCAGTTATCAGAAAATTTATGGGTAGGTTGGAACAGCACAGACGTGTGCATTTTTCTTTTTTTAAATTTATTTTATTGAAATATACTTGACTTACAATGTCTTGTTAATATGTACTGTACAGCAAAGTGATTCAGATATATAGATAGTTAGATATACATATGTATGTATTATCTATCTGTATCTATATCTATGAATATCTATCTATAGATATGTGTATCTATCTATATAGAATGGTGATTCTAAAGTGATTCAGATATATATTTAGACATATGTGTATATCTATATATGTATATCTATCTATAGATCTATCTATCTGTAGTTTGATACATCGAGAGGTATATATATATAGAGAGAGACATATACATATATAGAGAGAGGTATACATATGTATATAGAGAGGTTTACATATATATATAGAGATATACATGGACTATATGGGTATAGTCCATGGAATTCTCTAGGCCAGAATACTGGAGTGGGTAGCCATTACCTTCTTCAGGGGATTTTCCCAACCCACGGATTGAACTGAAGTCTCCCACATTGCAAGCAGATTCTTTACCAGCTGAGCCACAAGGGATGCCCAGGTATACATATACATACATATATATATATTCAGATATATATATATATATATATAAAATATATAATATATGTTAATGTTCTTTTCCATTATGGTTTATCCCAAGCTACTGAATATAGTTCCCTATGCCATATGGCAGGAATTTGTTGTTTATCCATTCTATATACAATATGACAGTTGGCATCTGCTAATCCCAATCTCCCAATCCACCCCTCCCCCACCCCTTCCCCTTGACAATTACAAGTCTGTTTTCTATGTCTGTGTGTCTGTTTCTGTTTTGTAGATAAATTCATTTGTGTCATATTTTAGATTCCACATATAAGTGATACATAGTATTTGTCTTTCTTTTTTATTGACTTCACTTAGTATGGT